ACATGTTTAAATGCGCAGATCAATAAAAAGAAAATTAAATTTATAATTTATAAATTTTATATTTTCTAATTACGTTTTTTGTTAGTATGTAAAAAAAAAAATATATATATTATTCTAAAAAAACATTTAATCCCTCCATAATAAGTAAAAGGATTAAAAATTTGTTTATATTTAACAATAAATAAAATATCTGAATGTATGTAATCGAAAATGAACCAGAAAAATATCCATATATCTTCCAAAGTTAATAATAGCGAGAAATAAAAACGGAGCGAATAGTCCCTCATAGAGGAATATGCGCATAAGGTAATTTCGTGTATATAGGATATCGAGTAACAATCTTTTAACTTTATTTATCGATAACTTATTTTTATCTAATAATACACTTATTCATTTCTAGAATATCTGATAATGTAATGAAATAATAATCAATAAAAAGATAATTAAATAATAAAATCAATATTAAAACTTTCCCCAAAATTCTTTTCATATTATATTATAGCTCAACACACATAAAATATCAGTTTTAAGACCGCTTTTTTAAAACGGAATTTTACGTGGTTTCGCCAAATTTTTGAATATACTTGATGCAAATTTTCTTTAATTTTATATTAATAATATTAATAATACTAATAAAATAAAAATTGATTTAAAACACAGGAAATAAAAAGAAATAAACAATTACTTGTCTGAAATAGCATATATGTATAAAAGAAAATATTAATATTCTTAAGATAATGTTACTCGATTAGATTCTGAATGTTTATACGCGAATATAACCTTTGTATTATATTAATAAAAATTCGTGATAATTTATACGATAAAATACAATAGCTTAATTGAAATGAAATATATCTTGTCATCGACATGAAAATCATGTTTGCTAGATATCAAGGAAATCAAGTTTGGAAACATTGCACAGCCTGTTAATATATGTGTAACATATTTCAATTGTAAAATCGAAACGATAAATTTTCTGTACATGTGTATTAAATTTTTACTATTGCTCTCCAATCTATGCAAATTAACTTTGCTATTTTTAAAATGTTACGACCATCACAAAGTATAAGGCAATCAGGATACATTTGAATCATCTGTTTTCTTCATAATGCCACAAAGAATACAAATACAAACGATAAAATATTACAATTACAAATTGTCGCGTTTCTTATTCTGTACTTTTAGTCAATTATTCTCTACAAATTGGCTTTGTCATACAATTACAAAACAAATACTAGTTTCGTACATAGTACGTTATTACATAATTGCATAAACGCAAAAGACGGCACTTTCTTTTCACCACTAAGAGACTTCTCTTATTCAATATATATACACATACAAATTTTACTATTTCGAACAATTATAAACAGTCATGAACAAAATACGTGAACAAATACGAGAAAACTAATATAATAAATGGAACATATACAATATGTCATAATATTACAAGATTAGTTTTTTTAAAATAATTTTTAATAATAAATATCAAATAATTTCCATTTAAAAAAAGAAGAAAAAAAGAAAAAAATCATAACATCAAATACTGGAACATCTTAATATTTTGCAAACAATATCTGCTATGCAAAAATATACAATGTTTGTTGTTGTTTCTTAATTTACAATTCTTTTAGTTTTAAATATTAATTAGAATTTTGTTAATATCGCGGAGATAGGTTCTATTATTTTGATTAATAGATAAATTTGGAACTAAAGAAGAACATTAAAAATTTATTCAGCCAATATCTTACTAAAGGAATAATATTAAAAGACATAATTTCATATTCTTCTCATTTAAGAAAGTATTTTCCTAAAATATCTTTTAATTCCTCTTATCTTAAAACTGATCAACCAAAATCTTTTTATATATACGTTCATAATGTTCAATAGCAAAAAACATAGATAAAATTGATGCATTTAAGAACTTACTAAAACTTTTCATGCTGGCATAACAAAGAAAAACTAGTAGCACGATCTAGTTTTACATAAATTTGTTGTAAAAATCATATATCAGTTCAAAGAACTCAACTCATTAAGTACAAAATACTCTGTGTGTGAGGGCGTGCATATGTGTGCGTTATGTGTATATATAGTGCACGTGTGCGCTATTTATATATATACACACAATATGTACATAAAATAAAAAAATTATACATATATATACATATATAATAATAATACATATATACATATATAATTTTTTTATGTGTCAAACGTGGCTGAACGTACAAGAGCTGAAGAACGTTTCACATTGCTTGTGGTTTGCCGATGACTATTTCTATTTTTATCCCCACGTGAGAGTAAACCCTTTGCAGTTTCTCTGAGACTAGCTCTTTGGTGAATACTAACGTGTGTACGGCTACTGCTGTGTGTAAGAGGATGGTGATTCACCACCAGAGATGCAGAAGACTCACCAGATTCCCCATCTTCATCACCCGTTGTATCTCCGGTTGTATCGCATTCACTGCTGTCCGCTTCACTTGATTCGCTCGGAGTGTCTTGTCCTCCCATTCCTATTTGTATACTCTCTCCTGTTCTATTTGTCGTTGCTGATACAGCTTGCGATATAGTACCACCCATTCGATGCATAAATAAACTAACCTACAACATTCAATTGATTAAATAAGATTCATCAAAATTTATTTCAATTCATATAACAAAAATATATTTAATATATCAAATATATATATATAAGCATACACATATACTTACTTTAAAATCAGCACTATACACTTTGTGATGTTTATCTTTATGTGCGTCATCCAAACCCCATTTATCTATACTTAAAACAAGAGTAGGTGGCATAGGTCCGAGACTAGCCAGCGATCCAGCTCGGGATTTCATATGCGACATAACCATTGGTAATTCCATGGTTGTACCATCGCAACTCAATGCCCTAGTTGAACGCTCAACTGGTAACTCTCCGTTATCATATTCTGGCGATAAATAATCCCGTACAAAAAATGTATTGAACCAAAAATGGAACAATTTTTCCTAAATGTGAAGTAAAAAAAAAAAGATTGATTATTTAAACCATTATTAAACCACTAGAAACAATTAATTATTTCATTTTCAAACATAGAATAAATACCTTTCGTTTCATTTTTGGTCTGTTAAAGAAATCCACTCGTATATCTCCTGTCAATGCTACACTGTGTTTTAAAGGGATACTAATTGTATGCATTCCTTTGCGTACTTCCACTATTTCAGAGCTAAATATCTTTTTTTTAGATTCAGATATTACACAATGTAAGTCTAAAATATAAAAATTATATATAAATATATATTGCATTTCATTTTTTGAATATATTTTGAATATTTTATTTTTCTTACATCCTTGACCTCCATGGAAAATGGGTGCCGGATCCAATTGTATTTTTCGTAACAACAATGTAACAGGTTGATAATTTAATCCTTCTTGTACAAGAGTAGCATAATAATCCACATATCTCCTCTGTGAAGGTATTGTTACACCCTTTCTGAATAATAAACAATATTGATAAGAGTACTATTTGTACATAATAAAAATAAAATGTAATATAATCACCTATCGTGCGTTCTTTTAGTTCCATAGTAATTAAGGGCTTCTGTGGCAGTGGGAAATTGTTTTATATGAAGAAGGTAACAACACACCATTACACCTGTTCGACCTTTACCCGCTTTACAATGAACTACAGCTACATTTTCTTGATGCCGAGAAAGCCATTCATGTACATCTTCACAAAATGGTCTAATTTGATCCAACATTGGTGGATTATGATCATCAAACGCGTATGTAGCTACTCTTTGTTTAAATTTTTTAAAATCATAAGATCTTTCTGAACATCTGAAAAATATATTTGTTTTAGAATGTTTTAGAATTTATTTTTTTTAATTTTTTAACTTTCAAAAAAAAAATTTATATATAAAACAATATCCAAAATGCTTACAGATTGTAAATCTTATAGTGATCTTTATGTCTAGATTCCAATAGTTTGACAACATCATCTATGTGATTCCTATATACTCCTTCTAGCTTTTCAGCTGGAAATCCCATTGCTATTAAATTATCTCTTATATCTATTATTAATATAGTTATGATTAAGGAATATTAACAAATTTAAATATAAACAAATTTATTAACATCAAAAAATTATATATTATATGTCATCTTGTATATATTTGCATATATTTCAACATAAAAAGCTATAAAAAAAAGGATACATGTGAGATCAAGATCAAAACCATCTTCTGTGAAACGCCTACGACGTTTGCTCACCATTCCTTTAATACGGTTGGTCATCTTCATATTACTGATAGTATTGGACATACTTGGCTGACTGAATTTCAAATCTCCTGTTTTGATTGCAATAATTTCAGTTTCCACTTCTTCTTTACTACTCCTTTCTTTTGTTTTCTGCTTTTCAAATAACTTTTTTGCCTGAATAAAAAATTATTTTTTTATTTATATTATATTCTATAATGAAAATAATAAGATTTACCTGTGGCTTATAAGCCGAGGCGTCACAAGAGCCCAGTTCTGGTCCTCTTTGTTCCTCCAGACAAACATGGAGGGGTGTTACTGATGCTGAGATATGTTCTGAGATTTTATTATTCAGCCTGCTGCCTGTAGGTCTCCTGCAGGAAAAGCATATACCCATTAATTCCCAAAGCATGTGTTCTTTCTATTATCCATCTCATTAAGTTATCTTCCTTTTCAATTTGCCACAGTTATAATTTGATGTCACCATGACCATCACAAGTTCAATATAACAATTATAATTTGCACAAAAAGTAAAACTTTGTACAATCTGAACACTATACACAACACAATACACTAATGAACACTACATAAGTGCTCAACATAACAGTTTAATTTATGATCAATAATCATAAAATTATTAAGAAGTTTCAGAAATATGAAGCAAAAAGAAACATTTTGTCACATCAACATGTCACATCATTCAAATTAAATTTTCACATAAAAATGATTATAAAATGACAAGATTGTCTATGACCATTACTAGAGAAAAATTACAAAAATTTGATGATACATCACCAATTATAATAAATATAATATATTTATATACATTCATATGTTGGATTTATATCTTAAAAATGATCAAATAATATATTATACAAGCACTGGCAAGTTTTATGAAAATCACGACGAAAGAACATCAAAGAAAGAAAAAACAAGAAAGAAAAAAAGTTTCAATATATGTCGATTTGAATATAAACGATAAACGATGATTTAAAAAAACATACTTGCATAAATACTGTGAATACTCAATCTTCATACGATTCTCAATAAAATTAGAAATATAATTAATACAAAGTATTTTCAGAATTTTATAAAATAACGATCACAGTCTCATGTTTTACGATAAATTAAAATCGTATATGGAAGTAGTAAAAAAGAATAGCACTTGGTACATGAAAAAAGAAAAAAAAAAAAGAAATGATAAACGATTAACATTCGCTATTTATGACCACTTGGTTACAAGTTCGTTATAGAAAGAACATTACTCGCAAGAAAACGCCGTGTAGAAGCGTCGATGAAAAGTTAGGTTAAGCACCGTTCGCAATACATCACAGAGGCCACTTAACACCGCTGTACATTTTCATGCCAGTTTCACCGATACATTGTTTGTCTTCTTCTTAATCCAATGTTCACATATCGTTTATAGAAGATTTGCATAAGATTTTAAAGAAATCGTTCGAGATACCATATTACTTTTGAAAAATAAAAAAGCAATCTTTTTTCGCATATAACGTAAAATTCACTCCAATCCTTTCGGAGCATGTTCAACTGCGATCTAGCGGCACTCCCAGTTACGGTGAATTTCTAAAGAATAAAGTTAGTATCGATAAAAATCCCTTGATCCATAGAATTTGTTGATATAATTTCTTTACAATTAATAATTTTCATTTAATCAGATCAATAAAAATATAAACTCGTTTTTTTGTTCACAGAAGAATCACGTTTTGATGGTGTAATCTTGTCATCGTGTCAAAGTAGTAATATGAATTCAAACCACATTCTATCACGAAAGTACAGTGGTTTTTGGATAAAGAACTTATACAGATGTAATGAACGCACATATTCATGAATACGGCCGTGAGGAACAACATAATCTCTATGTTGCATCCTCAATTTGCCACATGGATAAACACGCACACGCGATACGGACACTCACCACTAACGTATAAGATCATGCATCGCGATTGTTGCGGAATGGTTGTTCACTCTGCGAACGAACCGTCGTGATGCTACGCAGGATTTTATAGACGCTCGTACCGGGATTCGATCAGAACTAACATTCTTATTTTCCTATTTATCTCCATTTCTTCGTTATTATTAACGAAGGTCAGTTAAAAAAATGAAGAAATAATTAATCTTAATTAACGAACAGAAGTATTCGTTATAACATCCATTTTACAAACACAGTTTACATCTGATGTGAAATGGAAAGTCTCCCACAGCCACCTTTATCACTAAAAGCACCATTCACAATGACGCATTTGCATCACGTCTATTTGTGCTTCTAACTACTAGTGTTGGCAACATTTATGTGTATTTCCTCTAGAAAATCTACTAATTCATTTATTTTTGAGTTTTCAATTTTATTACTTCTCAATTAAAAAAAAAGAAAATAGGATAAAGAATTACTTAGAATTTATTAATCTAGAAGTTTTTTAATTATGGAAATTTTCGTTGTTCTTCTTTAAAATATTTTATTTCTATCCTTTTCTTTTTTGCGCATGCGTTCTTTCTTTTGTTTTTTTACTAAATATTCGTACTACTAAACTATAAAGATTGTCTTTTCAAATTTTTTTATATAAATTATTATTCGTGCTAATTTTTTAAAACTATAAATTAAATTTTATTTGCATTTATTAATATTTGTTATTAAATAGATTGTAAAAAATTTATTGTAATTTTTCTTTAATTGCTTAAATAGAATATTTAAAAGATCGTAATTTTTGCATTTTTAAAACTTGCATTGCTATTTGCTTTTTATATCAAGTTACTTTTAAGTTAATTGTTTTAAACATTATAAGTTTTATATGGATGTTTTAATCTTATAAAATTTAAATTATTTGAGTATTAGATTTACAATATTTTTTTTTTAATTTGTATTAATTTTGTTTATATATTAATTATAAAAACGCAATTAAAAATAATATTCGGAATATTTGCTTATTTATGAACACCAATTATGAATTCTTATCTGTACAATGATAAATACAAAAGTTTATACATTTAAATATAACAATTAATTAACGAATTAATTTACACAACAGTGATCAGGATATAATCAATTATTTTCTTATATTACTCGGATTTGTATACACTCATTCACCATACATACACACATACAGAGGTTACTTTCAAAAAAACTTATATGTAGGAGAAACTTCTTATTATGATATTCAATAAAATATTTAATGAATTAAAATAGTAAAATATAAATATCAGAAGATTTAAATTGTTTAATCATCAAAACAAATTTATCGAGTTACGTTTGAGAAAATTGGATTTTTTACAATATTTTTATATTATAAATCTTGAATTTGTGTTTTATGCAGTAAGATAATTTAAATTATGATGAAATTTTTCTTTTTTCTTTAATCCATCAGTATCATTCTCTATGCATCGCAGACTGTTTCCTTACACTCTGTCCTTTTATATATCACATAGATTGTCATTTCTTCATATTTTGTTACCATTTACAATTGTTATGCTATAAAGATTCAATTTCTTTTATTTTATCTTTTCAACGAATATAACATTAAAAAATCTAAATATGAAATTCTATATGAGAAATAAATTGTAAGAAATCTTCTACCACTACTTCTAGGATAACTAAACGATATATAGGATAAAAAACGACAGTCAATGCAATATATAGAGAATTCTAATGATTCTAAATAAAAAAATCAAAACAGTTTCATAAAGTTCTCTGTAAAATCTTTTTGTCTACATGGAAAGAAAATTTCAACTTGATCTCGGTCTTTGAGAGATTAAATACAAGTTAGATACAAACATAGTTTTGTATCTATTTTACATTATACACATATATGCATATATACACTCTTTCTCATGCATTGTACTGTTGGTATTGATAATTATTCGCCAGTTGTGAAATTTTGCAATAATAAATTCTTTTTTTAAATATTTTTCTTTTAAATATTTGAAAACGAGAAACATTATTATAAAATTGTTTTCTAATTTTTTTTTAAAATAAAAAATTTCAAAGTAAATTAATACATACTATAATTTTTTGTTTAATCTATATCGGATTTAAGTGTACTTAAAGTACCAGTATGTATTTTAGATGTTTTTATCTTTTTATATGATGTAAGAAGATCTTCCATTGTTATAGGTCGTACTGCATCATGATATTCTTCATCATCAGTACTGCTGGTAGCACTTGTATCTCTGTGATAAAAAGATTAATTATAAAATTTGATTTCAAAAAAAACTTTTGCGCAAATAAATAATAAAATAAAAATATTAACTGTGTATGAGTTCGTAAATAATCTCGAACACGATAAATAGATGCATTTCTACAAAGTTCTTGCAAATCTGATCCAGAAAAACCTTCTGTTACTTTTGCTAATTTTGCTATATCTACATTTTCAGCTATTGGTTCATGATCCAATATTAATTTCAAAACTCGCACTCGTTGCTCTTCATTCTGAAAAAAAACAAAATATATATATATATATAAGAATATTCCAAAAATGTTTCAAAAATATTCCAGAAATATCCGTAAACTGGAGATTTTTGAAGTAATTTCAAGTAATAATTCCTTTATAAAAATTTTCATTACAATTTTGTCAACGAGTTGTTAACAATTTTTTTAACAATTTAGGAATACCTTGTATACATTTATACATTTATATACATATATGGAAATTCAATGGAAATTCAGTATTTCATATATAAACAAAATGTCAATATATCACTAAAAGACTTGTCCAATTTTAAAGATCAAAGTAAACATAAAAATTGATATACCAAAATTTCAAATCGATATAGTAACTAATTAAGATAAAATGATTTCACTTATTTATATTGCCTTGCTTCATCTCAATATAAATTTCAATTGCTTATAATTTAATAAATAAACCTTAGCGAAAATTGCTTTAACTTTTGTATATGACTTTTAGAATTGATCCTTAAAAGTGTCTCATGAATATATTAATATTTTATATAAAGATATATATTATACATTACATATAATATATATTTAACAAATAAATTTTTGTATAAATTTTATTTACTGGCAAACCAATGTGAAAAGTAGCTGGCATACGTCTAAGAATAGCTCTATCTAAGTCTTGTGGCCTATTAGTAGCACCCATTATTATAACTATGCAAGAAGGATCTGTGATTAATCCATCCCAAAGAGACATGAATTGTGCTTTCATCATTGCAGTTGCTTCATGATCTTGCGAATTGCGTGCTCTTAAAAATGAATCTATAAAACAACATATTTTAAAATAATGACATTAATGTGAAATATATCATGATATTTTCCTACTAACCTATTTCATCAATAAAGATTATACATGGTTGAAGTTTCACAGCTAGTGAAAACACAGCTGCAGTTAATTTTTGACTTTCACCATACCATTTATCAGTTAGAATGCTTACATCTAAATTAATGAAACATGTTTTAGTTTCTTTAGCAGTTGCTTTGGCAATCATTGTTTTACCACAGCCTGGTGGTCCGTGTAAGAGTACACCCTAAAATTAAAATATACATTGTGATATAAAATTGTTACATAATTATATTTATATATATTTATATATAAACCTTTGGTGCTTGTGTTAATTGAGAATCTTCAAATAGTTCCTTTCTTTGTATAGGCAATATAACAGTTTCCTTTAATTCTTGTATAACATGTTCAAGACCTGCAATATTTTCCCATGAAACCCGAATATCTTTGGGATCCACTATATGATTAGCTATTATCATTTCATAATCTGTCAATTGATCCATGTCTACTGACCATAATAAATTATCTGTTTTAGCAAGTTTTCGTAACTGTTCTCGTGCCTATAAAACATGTAAATCACAATTTTTAATAAAAAATATATGAAAAATAAGGTTACTTTTCAAATGTGCATGGAGTACAAAGGTTATGTAAGATTTAATTTTTGAAAATATTAAATCAATAACCTTTTTTCTGGCTTTTTTCTTTGCATTATTCGTAGGATCAAGTTGATTCATAATCCATTTCATACTAAAAAATCCAAAAGCCGCAATAAATGATACTCTTGCCACAAGTACGAATATTTCTGATCTCGTATATCCAACTCCATCCGCAATATTCATTGTTTCTTATATTTTGTTTCAATTTTATCGGTAAATTTCTCTGTCCAACGTACTAAATATTAATTCTTTTCTATTAATATTACATGCCACTTTAAACTGTGCTCAAATTCTTAACTTGAACATTTACAAAAGAAAGAATAGTTGTATACAATGGAAAGAGAGGGAAACGTAAGCATGCGCAAGTCATTAAGATATACAATATATAAAAATGTATAAAAAATAAGTATTAATAGTTTTAATATAAAATTCCCTACGATAATTATTAATATATGAATATTAAAAATGATTTGATTTAAAAATATAGATGAGAATATACATGAGAATGCCTATTGTATAATATATATAATATATATATATATAATGATTAATATATAATTATATAGAATATAATTTCATTCGATTGTTTTTTTATTTATCAATACAATTTTTTATAATTGAAATAATATTATTTTAAATAAAAATTACATTTCATACGTATATATTTCAATTCAAAATTTTTTTCTTAAAATGAATAATATATATATACACTATATAATGATTTAATAATCAATGAAATACAATCTTACGTCATTAAAATTTATAATTAGTATATTTAAAAAATGATGGAGAAACCAAAAATATAAAATGATGAAAAAAATTATGTTAATAATAAAATTATAATAATATTAATAATACAGTTGTTTGTATGCATTTTTTTACATAATAAAACAATAATATT